ATATATAAAAAGAACAATTTGAATTTGATGCCAGCAACACATCCCAAAAAGTTAGGATGGGACAACAAAATATGATAAAATAAGTGGTATTAATAATTAACAGCTAGAAGAGCATTTTGAAACCAAATATGTAAATTGGAAATATGTATCTCATCATGGAAAGTGTATAATATCAAAAGGTTTCCAAAATCTGGAGAAATAACTGAGCACAAAGAACAAGGTGTAAAATTAAAACTGGAGGGTCAATAAAAACAGGTCTGACTCTAACTGGGCACAGGAACACAGTCTCTGTCTGCAAACAATGACTGAGCAACAATCAAACCCACTCCATCACAAACATTCTTCAGGAAATAAACTGGTCAGATCCAAAATGATGCAGAAAAACTGGTTCAAGCTTTTATCACGTCTAGACTGGACTATTGCAATGGTTTATTATCTGGGTGTCCAAATACTTCCTTAAAACGTCTTCAGTTGATCCAAAATGCTGCTGCCAGAGTCTTAACTGGAGTTACTGGGAGAGATCATATCTCTCCAGTTTTAGCTTCTCTCCATCGGCTCCCTGTCAAATCCAGAATAGAATTCAAAATCTTACTTCTAACCTACAAAGCTCTCAACAACCTAGCTCCATCTTATATTACAGATCTTGTTGTTCCATATTTTACTAACAGAGCACTTCACTCTCAGACTGCAGGTTTACTTGTGGTTCCTAGAGTTTCCAAAAGCAGAATGGGAGGCAGATCTTTCAGTTACCAGGCTCCTCTCTTGTGGAACCAACTTCCAGTTTCTGTCTGAGACTTTCTTTTTTGATCAATCCTATAGTTATGGTTGGCTTGAGTTTCATGAGTTCCCCTAGTTATGCTGCTATAGGCTTAGCATCCAGAACCCCTAGCAACTGATCTCCTTAGTTCCTGGATGTTTCTGGACCATTAAGCTTCACAGAGGTAAATGGTGTTCTTGTTTTTTTTTAAATGTATCTGCCACCAAATTCAAAATATCCTGATTTTACATTCTTGGTTTAAACATCTAACAGCTTACAGTGTTCTACTGTGAATCAAATGTGGGTTTATGAGATTTGTTAATCACGGCATTCTGTTAATTTATTTTTTACACATTTTACACAATGTCCCAACTTTTTTCCGAACAAGGGTTATACATGGATATGCTGACTGAGCAACTTGGAGTGTTCACATCTGTTAACCTTCACTCTTCATCCAGTACAGTGAAGAACAGGCTGGTTTCTGGTCAAACATACAGTACATGAAGAAACTCTGAACAGGAAGTCCTTGTGATAAATAATATGTACAGACTTTTAAATAAACGCATTTATCACAAGAAAACATACGTTTGTTTTGGCAACTGTTAAATCTCTCCAGTGGAAGCATTTAAAAGCGTTTTGATGATTCTTTGAAAACTTATTATTAGTGCTAAATCTTTAAGTAGGACAAAGAAACACACACACACAGAAGTGAACTTTCCTGTCCTCTGGCACTCACATCTCCTTTAACAGGGCAGCACATATTTAGACAAACTCCCTGAATCGTTTTATTCGTAGGTTTTTACTGATGTTTGCTCTCAGTGCGATCAGCTGAATGGACCTACCGACGTTCTGCTGATTGTGCACGTCCTCCTGCCTGCTTTCAGACGGCAGCAGCTCAGTCTCTTTACAAAGTTTGTGCAGCATTGAGAGGAAAACCTAAAATGAAGCTGCGCCGTTCACGGAGCTTCTGTTTGTGCTGCGGGAGTTTCATCTAAAGTCTGAATTTTATTATTCAGATGGAAACCCTGATGGTCCAACGACCTTTAGGTTTAGACTACACGAGGTCAAAGCAGGATGAGAAACAGAGCTGAAGGAAAAGGAATCAACAGATACTGTAAACTTTCATTTCGACAGTTAGCACACAGTCTATAAAGGATGCTAATGCTAATATTAGTTGTAATGTAGTCTACGAAGAATATATTTCCCCTGATGTTGGAATTCCATCTTTACGACGGAGCTTTAGGGCCACGCTAAGATTTTTTTTTTCAAAGCCATAATATTATGAGAATAAAGTCGTATGATAATAAAGAAATTTAATTTATTATGATAAATTAAATTTATTATGAGAATAAAGTTGTTAAATTACAAGAATAAACTCATATTATGAGAATAAAAACATAATATTACCAGAATAAAGTCGTAATATTATCCGAACTCGGACACAATAAAGCAGGGTTTATGCATTTTAACTGTGGAAGAATGAAGAATGTTGAGCATCTTGTTAAATTATACTTTGGTATTGGTTTTACAAATAAGGAGATAATTAATCTGTTAGCACATCAGCATCAGATTATTATCAGTATCAGGACTTTGAACCTGCTTAACAGTAAGGTGTACGCTCTAGGGCTGCAGCGCAGCTCTCTGCTGGTAAGGGGCATTTAACTCAACTCAACTCAACTTTATTTTGGTAAATTAGCATTACAGAAAAAGGAAAACAATATAGACTACTTTTTGACAAATCAATTTAGCTTTGGATTGGTCATTTGCTGACACACCTCCTGGATTGAAAGACAGGTTACGTCATGGGTCCGACTTGTAGGAAATAAATAAATAAATAAGAGCTGAAAAAAAAAAACCATATCGTACGACATTATTTTCGTTATATTAAGACTTTATTCAACTTTATTCTCATAATTTTATGGCTTTTATCTTTTTTCCAAGTGTGGCAATGCAATTGTATTTTCTCTTAGCGTATCTATGTAATTTGATTTTTCTTAGCGTATCAATGTAATTTTCTTTTTTCTTAGCGTATCAATGTAATTAGATTTTTTCTTAGCGTATCAATGTAATTTGATTTTTTCTTAGCGTAT